ACCCAGGGCTTCCTACTTGCTGGCTGGTGCAGCTCGGAGCTTGCTAGAGAATTGCACAGGCACAGCCCACACACCCCAGGCTGGGGGAAGACTCGAGCACTCTCCCCCCAGCACCCGGCACACAGGCTGTGACCCACCATCCTGCCCCAGCCGCCAGCGCTGAGCCCCTCACTCGCCCCAGTGCCCCCAGCAGCTGTGCCCAGGGCACACAGACACCAGTCCGGAGCCAGGGGCTGGGCTGAGTCCCTCACCCGCCCCAGGGCCTGGCACCACCGCCAGGGGTCCTGTACACCCCTCTCACCCCAGAGTTGGCACCACATCCACTCGCAGGGTGCCCCTGGTTACTGGCACCGCATCCTTACAGCACTGACACACAGGGGGCAGGGAGTGAGGTTGCGGGGAGAAAGACTGAAGGAAAGGTTTAATGAAAAGGCAGTAAAGACTGCGGTGATCAGGGACAGGGCTGGGTCAGACAAGTTCTTACACACCACCGGCAGCTGCTCACATACGTTCTACACCTTGTTATACCCCTTCCTCTCTGTTCACGCCCCTTCCCCTAAACTTTCCTCAACAAATTTTGCACAGTCCCACAGGCACCCCGCGAATATCCCAAATCCTCCTGTTCCTCTTGTTTCCCTCTTCTTATCAGTTACAAAGCCCAGGCTGGCCCTCTCCAAAGCTGTGCCTGGTGTTTCTTAATGGCCCGTCAATTAGTGGCTGAAGACTTTTGCTCTTTGCCTTTGCCTCCATTATCCCTTATCTATCAGATTTGTGCCTCTGTGTGTCTGTCTTTCTCTTCTTCCCTCTAATCACCTTTTCATTGAAAGGGGACTTGACTGATTACCTTAATGAAGCAGATGCTTTCTCCTTCAACACACCCTTACACTGGATACATGGCACTGAGGTGGATCATTAACAGTAGGACTTAGGAGAAAGTTACAGGATCCCTTACAAGGTAATGCCATTTATTGCTCTTTCACAACATACAGTTACATATTCTCACTTTGTTAATATTAGCTCGATAATGAATAACTGATAGTGTTGTTGTTTTGAACAATACTGCTCTCTCAAACCTCCATTGCATTATATGTGTGCAAACACAAGTCTACTATAAAGTTTTCTGTTGCAAACACCAACAGCTAAAAAGCATTAGAGGTGCCACTGCCAGCATGTGCAATCTGGTCTTAGCCAGGACTCCTAGCAAGGGCTTTCTGTACCCAGGCTAAAATAATTTTCCTCGCTATACATTTGGAAGAACTAGGAGGGCTGTAAATATCACTTGCACACAAACACAGATGTACCAAATGCGACTGCAGGATTTTAAAGAATTGCTTGTCATTTTGGAAATAATGCCCTTCTCTTGCATGGAAGGGGAGCTCTCTTGAAATATTTGGAACCTGGGGAACTGAGCCAGACTTAGACAGAAGGATTAGGAGCAGAAGGGATTGGGAAATGAGGTAGGATAAGAACAATGAACTGAAAGGGCTGGGAGAGGGTAGAAGATGGGAACAGGAGGAGCGGACATGGGCAGGAAGCAAGGCACATGATGGCAGGATAAACATTTGGGACCAGCTCAGGGACTGTAGGACAGAAATAAATTGAGGGATGGAAACTGAGTGCAGGACCAAAAGGAGTTGAATGGGACCAAAAGAAGATGAAGTCCAGCTGAAGGGTGGACAGACAGCTCAGAGGAGTTGAGTGTGATACTGCAGAACCATAATTTGGACATGGTGTTTGTACACCTCAGTAATTCTAAGCTGCTTAGCAAATAGTTGTGAAACCCTCCATCGTTTTGCTGGTCATGGGTCTGCATGCTGTTGTTATCGTCTGTCCCACTCATTCATTTGCTCACAGAGCATAGCATTGTGTTGTGAGCCTAAAAATTGTGACCGTCTGATGGGCCAGCGTGTTTTTTAGCCTGTGATAAATAGACCCCTGGAGTTCCTGGAATACTTCTACGGTGTCTCTCTCTCTGCAAGTCATCTAAAAAAAACCAAACAGGTTTACATGCAAAATACTTAAGGGATTTGGAAATAGAGGTTTAAAAGATGTTTAAAAGAGGTTTAAAAGTTACTCATCTGTAGGATAAAAGTTGGGGGATTTTATTTTCAATTTTAGGTTTTTGAAAGCCCAAGACAAACACAGCATTAAAGGAACTTTAGGTTTACAGAGGTAAGTACTTGAAAGCTAGGAAATGCCCGCATGAAAGTTTCTGGTACAACCTGATTTCGCTTACCCTTCTCCCTTTATTTCAGTATTGTGACACAATTTTTAGTTGCACAGTGGTATATTTTTGCCAGTACAACAACCTGTCCTCATTCAACGCACACAAAGGATCATGCTCCAGGAATAGTCCTGGGTGATACAGTGAATGAGACTGTCATCTTCAGCTTATCATGGAAGTGTAATTCTTCCTCCATCAGCTAACGGTGGCACAAGCATCCTATTCAAAGCATAGCGTAGAGACAGCCTGTGTAGTATTTTGTAAATATGAGAGCATCATACACTGTTTTGTTATGAAATTACAACTGTTACCTTAATGATACAGGGAGACAGTTCATTCAAGTGTGCATGTGTGAACGCATGTGTGTGCACGCATGTGAATCCATTGTGCTATAGCTGGTGACATATCTGTACAGTAACATCTCCACTGAGTTTGCTGGCTTTGCTTCAGATTTGTAACTAATGGAGAAAGGAGGGAACTTTATATGGAAGAATGAAAGGAGACAGTAGCTCACAGAACTGGGACGGATGCTTTCCTATCAGAGAATAGTAAGGCTTGCTTCTGTCTTGGGAAAACTGTGAAGTCTTATCACTTCCCATTGTGGCAACGGTGGAAACAGCAGTGTGATGGATACATGAAGAAGGTATTGTTAAATGCCCGAACCCTACTCACCCTGTTGCCATCTGATGCTTTGAGATCTGCAGTTACACAGACTGAGAAGTCCTCATATATTTTCCTCCCTGTTGCAGCACAATATGAGTATGAAAGCCAATGTTTCATTTCCCATATTCAGTGAAGTCACTCATCTTTCATATCACAAGTGTGTCTAGCATTCTGGCAGATGAGGAGAGTAACATTTCAGACCTATGCCTTCACTCGGACTAGGATAAAGAGGCTGAAGGCACTAAGGAATTTGGCCATTAACATTTGATAGCATATCAGTTGGCTGCCCTGATGCCTGGAAGGATGTTAATAAACAGATAGGTTTGTTCCTGGTTGCTGGTAACAGAACAAAACAGGAGAACTTCTGTTTCTAAGTCGTATGGCTAACAACTTCAGGGCACAACCTAATTCTGCTTCCCTCTCCTGTTTAGCACTCTCATTTATAGATTTATGGCTCTGAGTAAGTACGGAGGTATGAAGTTGGCTGTAATTGGTACTGTGCATAAATGTAAATGACTGTTTCAAATGTGGATGCTCTGCCAGCTATTACATTTTTTTAACTTCCTTGGCTATTGCTCTTTTTAGACCATCAGAATTCGTTTTACAAGTCGAATATTTTGGTTCCTGGGAGATGAATTCTACCTTAGGGCCTCAAGCCTGGGAGAGGTTATATAGTACCTCTTAGGCTGCATGTTAAGGTGTTGATGCGTGATTTCAAAGGTCCATAGTTCACTAAAGTTACTGCAGGGATGAAGGATTGTTTGTTTTTCTTCTGGACTCTTCATTTGATATGAGTGAGAATGACAAGAGGTCACATGAGCAAAGCATCTCTAGCTATTCGCCTGGTTGCCTGTCGTCTCCTTCTAGTGAGTCAGGAAGTCAGCCACCATCTTCAGTGACTTTGATACCGGGGGCCACTGGCCTGAAAGTAAGTGAAGGAATTAGTAGGGTCAGAGGGAGAAGATGCTCCATAGCTGGGAAAAGCACCTGAATGCGTGAAGCAGGAGATAGGGTTAGTGCATGAGCCATGGAGGAGAGAACTGGAAAGTTCAGGAGAAGATGGAGTGTCTGAGCAAACCCAGAAAGGCAGGAAGTGGATAAGAAGTTCTATATGGGCTAGACGCAGATCTAGATACCCACTTGGGGTATCTCAGTTCTGGAGTGCTTACCTTGAAGGTCTCTGAGTTTGCCTTTCCTGAGAAAATGCTACATACCCATAATTTTGTGGCAACTGCAGTACTGAGCACATCAAATCCAGTTAAAGGGACCTAAAGGGAATCCAAAGGGTGGCAGTGCTACCCGAAATGCTGACCCACATTCAGGGGTGCGTAAGATATCCAAGGAACTGTTTGGCTCATTGAAGCTGCACTGCTGTGCCATAGGTTGACAGGTGCCTGTAAGGGCCAGGCTCCAGGGAGACAATATCCCTCCAGCTTCTGGAGTAGGATGGGAGCCCAGAATCAGGTGTCCTCCTGTGCTGGAGTCAGCAACAGTTTTTCCTATGTATCTATGACGGGGGGTGTGTGCATCTTGGAATTTGTGACCAATATAGCCTGAGGGAGGACGTGGTCATCCTAAACTCCTGAACCACAGCAACATCCCATACCTGAGCTCGAGGATGTGAATACAGCCACCACCTCAAAGAGAAGCTTAGTGGCACTTTTAGGTGGCACCTGTCTTGTGGTGTTCATTTCAGACCTAATGGCCGAATAACTCTGCAGGGAGTGTTATGGTACTGCTGAGTGGCTGCTTCAGGGTTCACCTCTTGCCCCTCCCCGACATCTCTGGATCTCCCTTGCTGTTCTTCTCCACACAATTGTGTGCCATCTCAAGATGCTGGCCCAGCAAGATCCGCACGGAGGCTGAACGGTGGCAGCTGGCATTGCCTCTTAATATAGAAGTGAGGGGTGTGGCTGCACAGGCAGTGTGGTGCAGATCAGTTTGGGAACAGGCTGTGTGCTAAAAAGAGTTTAGTTGCACATTGCAAAGGCTTATGGGTTTAATACTGAGTCTGAGGTGCAGCTTAAGTACACAGAGGGAAATACAGTGACTTCTTAAGGGCTTTCAGGAGCAAGCACAGGTGGTATATAGCAGCCTGGGTGCCTACTCAGAGATGGACTGTGGTAGGAGGTGAGCAGAGAGGGTAGACATGGCCGGATGGGGCTGCAGCTCGCATGGGTGCTGTCTGTAACACTGCTAGCTCAGGTAACATGAAGACCAGAGCTGTGGCAGCACGAAATGTCTGCGTGGGCTGGAAAATCGTCCTGCAAATCGTTGCGGAGCTCCACGCTGTCTCTGCTATGCTGCTTGAAACTTGCTCGTTTAAACCCAGTACAGGATGAGCTCAATCACAGCAGTGATTGCAATGTAGACATGCCCTGTATCCTCTTATAAACCTCAGGAGCTTTTCCATCCCTCCCAAAAGCTGTTTTTAAAGGATTTCTCAATAGTTAACCATGTGAATGAATAAATCATAATTATGATTCAAAAAATCCTGTGAATGAATAATTCATTGTAATAATTGAACAAGGAATATCAGCAAGAAGCATTTTACTATTAAGAAGGTAAACATTGATTCATTTTTTTAAAAGAAAAGGTATATTCTCTAGCAAAGTATTTTTCAGCTAGTGGCCATAGCCTACTTATGTATAATATGAAAGAAAAATATGCGTCCTTGTGCGACAGCCATCTTCATATAAATGAAAAGATATGCTTCCTTTTGCAACAGCCATCTTCAATGCTGATGAGTGAGAAAGGATTAAGCGACATTTAAATCATATTCACCTCCTTCCTGAGGACAGAGCCAAACAAGGCAGCCACAGTCAGCTGGTCAAAATGTCCAGAGCCTGAAGTAACTGAATATTGCCAGCTAGTTCGGGACAAATTGGGAGCAGGGGTAAAAAGGGGAATGTTTTCTTCTAGATCTGTGCTGTTAAGAGATAGTGTAGGCTAAGCATATGGCACGCAGCCAGCTAAGGCATCAGATACTATGATGATAAAAGCTTGCTTAATAATACTCAGTACCGACAAAAGGGCTTTCCAGGGAAAGACAGACTTTTGTCCTAGGAAGGATGGAAGCAGCCTCACCTGTTAGCCCCGTTTTTGGAGGGCGAAAGTACACTGTCATGAGTTTCTCTACGCTTTCAGATGCCAAATGTGACATGGACAGAGCAAGCCACAGGTTTCTAAAGGCAAAAGAGCCGAAGTCTGATTGCCTGCAAAATGCAGTTTTGGCTCCCAGGGAGACTAAGTGTTGACTGCGTGGTGGGAAACAAACAAAAAAAAGAGCAGGCTCACCTGTTTGGTACCTGGAAGGCTATCCAAAGATACCTTTTGGATATAGAAAGAGGAGAGAAACGGTATTTACCTGTCTCTTTCCCCAGTTGCACTGCTGACTGTGTGACAGGTTGTCTCCATCTGCGGATGGTCAGATGCCACTGTCGTGCTTGCATCATAGCAATGACATAAATGGAGGTCCGCGAGCCACAGTCATGGAGCGACTGGCTCAAGGTCAACTCCAGCCTGCGGCAGGGACAGGAACAACACCGGGGTCTCCCGGGTCCCACGGCTGAGCTCTGACCACTGGCCGGAGCCGGCGGTGTTTGACAGGAGGGTTTTGACTGGAGGGGCAGGGGCAGGTTTTCACGGTGGAGGGGTGGGGGAAAAGAAGGGCGGGGGCGGTGCCACCCCTTGGGTGAGCTGTTGCGAAGCCCCTGGCGGGAGAGCTGCAGCCCGCAGCGGCATCCCCTCGGGGGTACACCCCTAAAAAGCCGGACGCCCCTGGGCGTGTCTCGCTGTGTGGGTGCGCGCATCTGTCTGTGCCTGAGCGTGTCCGTGCTGGCGGTGCCTGTGCCTGCGTGCCTCTGTCCTTCTGTATCCCTGCGTGCCTCTGCTCACGGGTGCGTGTCCCTGCACGCGTGTGTGTGTGCCTGCGTGTACTCCTCTCCCTCTCGCTCTGTGTAACCGTGTGTGTGTGTGTGTGTGTGCGTGT